TATCCTGGCCAGGTGGTAAATACACATTAACTAGTGTAACTTCTTTCTGTTCAAGGAACCCCTTAACAAATACATACCGACCCTCTTTATCACAGAATTCAGCAACCACTCGAAAATTCACTCTATTTGGAATCAGTATTGCTACCCCTCTTTTTCTCCCTTTCTTACAACATGAGTAAAATGTATTTCTAAAACCATATTTTTTTAACTTTTCATGTTCAATTCGGTTGAGATGGGTCTCCTGCCGGAATACTACATGCGGTTTCTCCCTTTTCATCTTTGCAATAACCTTGCCCCTTTTAATTGGATTGTGTAAGCCATTTACATTAAGGGTAACTACTCTACATTCCTGACATTGCATTTAATCCCACAGTTAACACAGGTAGGTGAAGGACATGTTAGAGGTGACCAAACCTGAACTGTTTTTGAACTATAAAACAAACTCAAAACATTACAAGATAAAACAAACCAACACATTAAAAAACTCAAGTAGACTTCCATTTTGAAGTAGTACAACACTTCTTAAAGTGGAGGGAGTAGTCTAGTGAACCACCAGAGCCCCCCTTCAGTGCAACCTATAATATCCCTGCTCCAAGGGTGTATTTGTGCACTAAGTTCGTCAAGATCTGATCTCTTTCCCATAATTGTCGGTCAACTATATTCACTATGGGCTAAGGGCGAACACACACAGTAATAAATTTAAAGTTTGGCACCACATGAAATTAGGAGCTGGTAGTTGTGTATTAAATGAAAATGAGAAATGGAGAGAAAACAGAAACAAAAGGTGCTCAGTCTTAGTGGAGAGGGGGGGAGTCAGCTACAAGAAAACAACAAAACAGCAGGTGACATACAGTTTTTACTCCCAGACACTATACAGTACACCTCCATCCCCCGGCCCCATATCACTAACGTTTTTAACTGGACTGTAGCTCTCAGTCGAGTCTCTGCTCTTATAATGCAAGATCGTTACACAGTCTGTTACCTCCCGTTTACGTTGTCACTGTGTCTATCATGGCCGCTGAAAACCTCGCAGCCTTTGCTTAATCCACTCCTGGTGGGACTGGGTGCTGGCTGCCTTCGCTGGACGCTGCCAGGTGTTTTTCCGTATTTTCTCCAGAATTCATCGGTGCTCTCACATTCAAGCGGGAAGCCCCTCTTCAAATCCTCCGCCGCCTCCGCTGCACTCCTGTACGTTACCGGTCCGCTGTGGAAGAAAACTCGTAGCTTGGCTGACGGTGGTGTCTGAAACCGTATTCCCTTTTCCCACAAAAGTCTCCTAATCTGCGCATACGCCCTTCTTTTTGCCAACGTTTCTGCAGGGTAGTCATGGTCGAAATAAATCCTCCTGTCGCCATAGTAGATCTCCCTCTTCTTCCATGCAGAGTGCAGCACCAGTTCTTTGGTTTTAAACTCCTGAAAGTATACAACCACTGACCTTGGCTGTGCCTCTTTTGGGGGTTTAGGGCCGAGTGCTCTGTGACACCGTTGTATTCCAAGTTCATCTTCGGCGAGGGGCTGCAGCTCTTTTTTGATCATATTGTCAATAAATTGCTGGATGTTGTTTTCCTCAGCTCTCTCTGAGATGCCATAAATGCGTATGTTATTACGCCTCGAACGTGCTTCCAGGTCTGTTAGCTTCATCTGCAAACTATCCTGGGCTTGTAGTGACTGACTCAGCGCCTCACTTAAGTCCACGGTCCACTCCTCGATGTCGGCTATACGGCCTTCAGCTTCGCACACTCTTTTGGTTGTAGCTTTAAGGTCGGTTGCTACTTCACCTAGCTTATGTTGAATTTCCTCCCTTATGTCGGCCAGTTCCCTTTTCAAATCTTCTCTGATGCTGTCTCGAAAATTACCCAGCTCAGACTTCATCTCCGTGACCATAGTCTTTATGTCTGCGCAGATGGTGGCGATGCTAGCTTCCATATCCACTGCTGCTAACTCAGTGTGTTGTCCTCGTCCGCCATTTCTGTCTCCGTGTTCCTCTGCTATGGTCCCCTCTGTTGCCAATTTGTCACCCTTCTCCGCTTTCCCGGGTTGTTTACCCTTGCCCTTCTTGTGTTTTTCCCCCTCCATCATTAATTAGAGCAAAGCTTGGAGAGTATTTGTATTTAAATTGGGGAATAAACTCCGACCGACCGGGAGGGATTATTTATGCGGCCATCCGCTTCAGTCGCTCCACCGGAAGTCCGACGGAAGGCTGTTGTGTTTACAAAGGCAGAGAGGAGGAGAGGTGGTCAGAAGCAAGCTGAGCCAAAACCAGGAAGTTAATGCACAGATGAGGGCTGGAGAGTCAGGCATAACACAAAGACAATCTGGTAATACTAATAATAATAATACATTTTATTTGAAGGCGCCTTTCTTGGCACTCAAGGACACTGTACAGATACACAAAATGACATTAAAAAGACATGAAAAAGAAACAACAATAAAAAAAATTTAAAAAAAAAAACAATAGAAAGTGACAGATAGCAATTGACATCAGATGGAATAGGCAGTTTTAAACAGATGTCTTTTGAGTTGTGATTTGAAATGGGGGAATGAATCGATGTTTCTGAGTTGGGGTGGTAATGAATTCCAGAGACAGGGAGCAGAGAGGCTGAATGCTCTGCTCCCCATGGTGGTGAGACGGGCAGAGGGGACAGACCGGCGTGTGGAGGAAGAGGATCTGAGGGAGCAAGAGGGAGTGGGCACATGGAGGAGGTTGGACAGATATGGGGGGGCGAGGTTGTGGATGGCCTTGAATGTTAACAGGAGGACTTTAAATTGAATACAGAACTGAACCAGGAGCCAGTGGAGCTGTTGGAGGACAGGAGTAAAGTGGTGGATGGAGGGGGTTGGAGTAATGACACGGGTAGCTGAGTTCTGGACCAGTTGAAGTTTATGGAGGGATTTGTGAGGGAGGCCAAAGAGGAGAGAGTTACAATAATCAAGACGGGAAGTGACGAGGCTGTAGATAAGGATGGGGGCAGTGTGGGGGGTAAGTGAGGGGCGGAGACAATTGATGTTTCATAGGTGGAAGTAGGCAGACCGGGTAATGTTATTGATGTGGGAGTGAAAGGATAGTGTGCTGTCAAGGATGACACCCAGACTCTTAACCTGGGGGGAGGGTGAAATGGAGGCGTTAACAATAGTGAGAGAAAAGCTGTCGGTTTTGGATAAAGTGGATTTGGTGCCAATAAGGAGAACCTCGGTTTTGTTACTGTTTAATTTAAGGAAGTTTAGGGTGAACCAGGTCTTTATTTCAGTGATGCAATCAGTGAGGGAGGTGGGCGGGAGAGTGGATGAGGGTTTAGGGGTGAGGTAGAGCTGGGTGTCATCAGCGTAACAGTGGAAGTGGATGTTAAATTTGCGAATGATATTGCCAAGGGGAAGGAGGTAGGTGATGAAGAGGAGGGGCCCCAGGACAGAGCCCTGGGGCACACCTGAAGTGACGGAGGAAAGGATGGATTTAAAGGACTTGAGTTGAATGAACTGAGTGTGGCCAGAGAGGTAAGATGTGAACCAGTCTAACGGAGTGTGGGTGATGCCAATGGAGGATAGCCTCATGAGGAGGGTGGTGTGACAGATGGTATCGAAGGCTGCACTCAGGTCGAGGAGGATGAGGATGGCGAGGGGTCCAGAATCAGCTGCCATAAAGAGGTTGAGTGCTGTTTCAGTGCTATGGAGTGGGCGGAAACCAGACTGGAACTGTTCATACGGTTTATTGTGGGATAGGTGAGAATGGAGTTGGAAAGCAACTGTTTTTTCGAGGATTTTGGAGATGAAGGGTAGATTGGAGATAGGACAGAGGTTGTTGAAGTTGGAGGGGTTGGCGCCAGGTTTTTTCAAAATTGGGGTAATGGCAGCAGTTTTGAAGGATGTAGGGACAGTTCCAGTGGTGAGAGAGGAGTGAATGATGGCAGAAATGAGGGGGACCAGAGAGGGGAGGCAGACTTTAACAAGTTGTGTGGGGAGGGGGTCGAGTTGACAAGTGGATGGCTTGGATTTCTGGATGAGTTCTGTGATTTCTGAGAGAGTGGGGAGTTGGAAGGAGGAGAATGAGTGTGTGGATGGGTGAAAGTCAGCTGAGATGCTGAGGTGAGGGTTTGAGCCAAGGTGCTGGTGGATATTCTTGATTTTTGCAGTGAAAAAGGACATAATGGAGTTGCAGAAGGAGGTTGTGTACAAGTGAGGGGAGAGAGAGTCCTGGGGTTGGGTGATATTGTTAAAGGACAACTTCGGTATTTTTCAACCTGGGCCCTATTTCCCCATGTGTATGTGTGCATATGATTCATGGGTACCACTCGTTCTAAAATTGGATCAGTATTGAGGGAGGCGGATGCAACCGGCAGCCGTGAAACGAGCTAAAACGGTAGATAGTGATTTACTGGGATAGTTTCATTCACCTGGGTGTCAATGGAGGTTTCCCCTCAAACAAAATGAGCACCCTCCCCCAACTTACTTTACCTGTGTTGTGTCACTACACTGGATGTTTACGTGATCATGATTATGTTACTTGAACAAAGGTGGCCTGACAGTAAATTTCCTCAAATCTAATATATTTCAGAAGTAGCTGTATTACCAAGAAGCTCATATTTAGGCTATTACACTGTATCTCGATTTGATGGTACTGTAATAACTTATGTAATATCTTGTTCAATTATATTCTCTGAGCATGCCCAGACACTGTTTTGAACCCCACTGGGGAGGCCCACTTCCCATAAATGTTGTATTTACACATATCACAGAGATTTGTAGTGGGAATGAATGATGATGATGATGATAGTTATTCAATGACTGCCTTTATATGGTGTGTTCAAAGAAGTTTCACCTTGAAAAAGAATATTGACTTATTCTATGCAACATTCCCAAGCTATGGCTAGTGTGACTTCAAGAATGGGAGATTTGATTTTTCAACATTATTAGGATTTGTCTGAAATGTCATCTTAGTTGGAGCAGTAAAACTTTTCATACGTGGCTGTAGGTAACACCTACTTCTTTTTTTGTCTTTCTAGGGAAGTTGTGGTGGTGAGGTTTCTCCAACAGAAACTGAATTTGCCACAGTCCCACTCCGACCAAGACTCTAACAAAAGATGTTCTAGAAACATCGGGAACAGTTGGGCCTTGTTCGACCTCAAGATTGCGACTTGTACTCTCAAGTCCTCCTACTGTCACTCCACACACCAGGCTGTCTTCATCTGGAGTGTACCCTGCACTGCCTCCAACTATGGCATCACTGGTTGTAAGTGTAGCAGTGCCATCACTTTCTCTGGACAATTGAATAGTAGCCTCTAACCTCCTACATCACTGCAATGACATCCTGTGTATGTTTTTTGTGTCCTAAGACTGCACAGCCTCTGCATCAGCCACATGACACGTGTCGTGTCACAAGTGAGTTGAATGTCTCGTTTGTCATTTGTAAAAGGAAGGAAAAGAGTGATCCATCCATAGTAATATTATCAGTGTGAGATTTTCAAAACTCATTTTCAATATATTGTTGCTATGAGATATAAATTCCACACTTATCCTGTCTCTTCAGACTGAACCTGACAATCCAGAGGAACCAGCAGTGAGTGATATCAGCATGAGCTTTGGGGAGATGTCTCTGGATCCATTAGACACAAGTTATGCGGTACCTAGCACGAACCTCGCCTTCCACCCAAGACTCTGGCTCTGCCTCAGGAAGCTCCCATGGGGATACCCCAAGAGGATGGGCCGAAAACAGGTGGCTGGTGAATGAGTCTAAGGTCATGGAACTTTTTAAAAGGTGCAGCACATATGGCTGTTCAGTAGAAGATGAAAAAATAATAACAAACTCAAGCCAAATTAAAATACACTGAACATGCATAAATGGACACTCTGACAAGTGGGAATCATGTCCTGACAGAAGAGGGATGGCTGAAAACAATCTGCTGATTAGTTCAGCAACAGTTTTCACAGGAGGAACGTACTCAGATATGGCAGATAGGGCTCAACTACTCAATCTGCACATCCCAAGGCAAACACAGTTCTATGCCATTCAGTCAATATACCTCATACCAGTCATCCTTTATGCATACAGGGAGCAACATGACAAACTCACAGAGCACCTCACTCAGGAAAGAGCATCTGGGAGGAAAATTGAACTGTGTGGTGATGCCAGATGTGACAGCCCTGGTAAGCATTTTATTCGTTCTTCCAAATATGAGTACTTATGGTGATTTTACCAGTAAAAATTTACATTTTGTTTCTCCCCAGGATTCAGCAGTAAATACTCCACTTACTCCTTCCAGGATGATGCCACAAAGGAGATTGTTCATTTTGAACTGGTTGAGGTAATTCAGCGTGACTTGTGTTTGAATGAAATGCCACATCTGTGTGGAAAAAAAATATTTTACTTGTCAAATTCTGTGAATGTACCGTATTTGATAAGACATTGTTCTGCTGTAGGTTACAGAAGCATCCAGTTCTGTTGCTATGGAGGCCATGGGGTTTCAGAGGGGGCTGAACCACCTTCTCTACATGGGCGTGGATATAGGTGTCATGACGACAGACAGGTCACCATCTATCCGAAAGATAATGAGGGACACCTGCACTGACATCCACCATGAATTTGACCCCTGGCACAAGAGTAAGTAAAATGGGTTTAGTTTATTTGTTTTATCTATAAGGGTAGATACATAATCATATTTTCTTTTTGATCATTTGGATTTGTTACTTGTTTTTCTCAGGTGTGAAGAAAAAGCTTGTCACAGCCTCAAATAAGAAGGACAACAAAGATCTCCAACCTTGGGTAAAATCAATCATCAACCACCTGTACTGGTCCTGTGAGTCATGTAAAGGTGATCAGGAGGTAATAATGAGATTATTTTGTAATTGTAACACACGATATTGACTTGACAATATCACAATCTTTGAAGGAATAATATTTTTTAGGTTACATGATAAGGATGGTAATTACTGGTTTGTCACTGTGATATAATCTAAAAGGCTAAACCAAATTTCTATTCAGCTGTCCCAGATGTATACTCTAAGTTTGTGATGTCTTTCTGAAAAAGTTTGTTTTTTAAGCATAAATGTATGACTTATAAATATTTTTATGTTCTCATTCCTGCAGGAATGTGTGCATTGGTGGAAGTCTCTGCTCCATCACATTTGCGGTGTGCATCGATGGGAGGAGAATGGTGTGGAGCACACATGTCATCACCCACCTTTGACAGAGGTGCAGCAGAGAAGAAGGAAGTGGATCAAAGCAGATTCACCTCCTTTTCAGGCTCTCAAAGCAATTGTGATGGACAGGAACCTCCTTCAGGACTTGAAGCAGATGTCTTGTTTCAAGCACACTGGTATGCCTTTTTTCGCCTCTTGTTTTTAATTCACTAACACAACACTAATAAAAAAAATATCCAATGCTATGAGGAGTACTAATACTGCCAAACTCTACAGTACAGTTATGGTACAGTACATATTACATCTTTTCTTGTGTGTGTGTCTCATAGTTTTGTGCGATGACTTCAAGTCTCTCAGAGCAAAGATGTCCTGCGGTCATACTGTCACTCCGATGTCTCTCACCATCTGGTGTCTGTGTGCTGGATGAGGTACACTAATGACATCATCACATTCCCTTCATCATAAAACTCAAACATGTTTTAGTGACTAACTTCTCTGACAAAGTGCATAGTGGCAGCATGTGTAATAAAAGAGTAACTTTATAGTAGGTTAAAAATATAGATTAAATAGTAAAAAGACAGTATATGACTTAGCTGATAGAAGAAACACATTAAACGATCATTTCCCACTCTGAAACTTTTCTCTTTGGTTTTCTTTATAATATTAAAGGGTGAGTGCAAATTTGTGTGTGGCCAGACTGACTGTGATGCTGAGTGGCCCTTTGAGGAGGTTTGTAAAATGGCTCTTCTGACCCCTGAAGAAAGGGATTACTTTGAAAGGAAAATCTTCAGCAACGCTGGCGAGAGTTACTTGGATGTCAAAGCAGTGAGTATCTCAGTTACATTATTCAAAACTGTTGATAGAAATCTTATTTGCTTGTTGTGAATACAGCGTTTGAATGTAAAAACATCTCATTGTGTTTTAACGTCACTCCTCAGTGTCCTGGATGCCAGTCTCGTTTGATGAGAGCTGACCTCCATGATCTCAGTGTCCAGTGCCCAGTGTGCACAGCGAGGAGAAGAAGGGCTTATCAGTTCTGCTGGCAGTGTTTGAAGAAGTGGAAAGGCCCAGCTCCACGTTCAGACCGCTGTGGGAATGCAGACTGCCAAGACCCACTGGAAATACTGAGAAACTGCCCGGATATCACCTTCAAGGATGTGGAGGGGGTCACTGGCTGTCCCTTGTAGTGTAATATTTACTATAGTGTTCGTACTGTACCTTTAAACTGACCTTTAAAAGATACGTGTTGAAGCAATATAATCTGTGCAACTGACAAATTACACACTGGTTTAATATTTCATGTATTCTTATGACACACACACACACTCATTGAGCACTTAAGCATTGTGGTGGAGAAGTACCTAGGACTCACTGTGAATCATTTCTAAAAATAGCATGAGGATGGGTTCAGAAAACACTAGTGGAAAGTTAGGGGAATTGCAGTTTGTCCTGATATGACCCTAGAGGGGGAAGGACTAAAAAAGTGCAAACTCAGCAGAAATGTGACACCTTTATGATCAGCGCCCAGTGGAAAAGTTTAAGGAAAAGAGATGACTCAGCAGAAATTCTACGATAAAAGAGCGAGCGCAAACAAAGAAATTTCAGTCCTGCTCCGGAGCTTGACTCATTGAGTTGTGATGTGTTTGTTGCCTGCGAGCACATTAAACTCAGTTGCATCTGATTCTACGTGTCTCCAGTGATTTTTTTTGACCTCTGAGTATTTGAGTTTTTGATATCTAATGGAAGACAAAGAAAGTCCGTTTGAGAGGAAAAGAGCGAGGTCGCGAGCTTTCTGGCACGGCTCGCGACCTTGACTTTTTTGCTTCTACACCCTCCATCCGTGCCTGTCCCACCTGTGGTGTTCTGCTGGAGCATGATAACAGGAACTCACTGTTAGGCCGTGTACTGGGTGCGGTGTAGGGTGGTGTTCAATTTTGTGTGTCTGAATCTCAGGGAAGAGTGTGTGAATGAAGCAAACATATCCTCAATTCATGACCTTTGCCCCAGTGGTGTAGCACCAAGACAGACCTCTATACCTGTGTGGCAGAGGACATGATCCTGTTGATGTAACACTGCAATCTAAAAAATATGCACGTACACAAAGTTTTTTTTTTAGAATCATACAAACTGTTATTGATCAGACAAGAACTCAACCCCATGAAGCTTTATTTAACAGTTGCAGACTAAGATCTTGTGCTTTTGGTTCAGAGGCTGCATGCTTTATCTTCATCAGATGCCTCCGGGCAGCATCAGCAACGTATGAATGTTGGACATGTGCCGGATACCGTGGTATGCCAGAGTGGTCTCCTCCTCCAGTGTCTGGGTTTTGAAGACAACCCGGAAGTCAGAACCTGAAAGCAGAAAGATAAATAGTCTATAGCCGTTTCTCAATATGCGTTCTTGTGCGGACTTGTGTTCTTGTGAACTTGTGACACATCATCAGTCACAGCCCAAGTACTGTTCCAATTCAAAGTTCACATCTAGCCAAGTTCAGTCCAAATGCCCAGATGTGTTCTCACCACGCCCCTTTTACCGGGGATGCATCAGACAGCCAGGTATCCCAGCATGCATTTCGCAACAATCATCGGAAATGGCAAGTGAGGGAAAGGCGCACAATTCTAAGTCGTAATTACCGATATGTTGTTCTGTCACGGAATGGAGTGTTTTCATGCATAGTTTAAACTTCACACCCGTGGTTGATGTATTAATATAGAGCCCCCTTGAATGTGAGGTCCCACTAGATGACAGCGGTGTCAGCGCTCATAAATAATAAACGTGTGTATGAGCGCTCAGGCTGCCCCACCGAGAGCAGCCTCTTTCGGGTAGTCCTTTTATATTCGTCATTGTGGTTCGTTCAGGGAAAGTCGGGATTTCAGAAACTCGGTTGAAACAGCGCAAACTGATCAGATCAGATTTCATGATGTTCTTCCCTACTACATAAACATTTACTACACGAACGTTTAAAGATAAATGGAAATGTTGAATTACTTGAAATGATTATTGATGTGAGGACCCATTATTCCACCATGGCAACAATGTATAATCTACTATTTGACTGAAGGCTGACTTAAAAACATTCAATGAACACAATGAACATGAAAACTGTTTTCAGTAGACATTGCAAAGTATGTTTGTCACCGTTTATAACACTAGTAACGGAAACCCGTAAAAAGAATGGTCTAGCAGAATGCTAAGGAGTGGAGAAGTGAGTGACTAACTGTAATTTTATTTATCAATTAAACACAATCATAAAGGCTACATCAATCAACAGATTGTAAAACAATCAATAAAAGATAAAATTATATAATTTACTTATCTTCCAATAATGAAGACCTACATCAGTCTAATAATATCAGACTGAAAGAAAAAACATTTGAAAACTTTTTACCACTATTTAGCCAACCTCAATCTATTAACCTCTCTGTTTATATTAGTTGTATTAATATTGACTATTTTATTTACTAAAATTGTTACTAACAGA